CGCTTATTTTTAATAATTTCCTGACAATAAGAGTGATTAGAGAAATGAATGACAGTAATACATATATACAGGGTAACTCACGGTCGATGGTACGTTAGACGTTTATGGAGAACGGGACATAGGATCATTCTGAAATTTTGGTTACTCACGTAGTTGCTCTTGGTCTATCGATCTAGAATATTTTCAGCTCTGCGGCGTTGCCGCTTCTATCGAAAAGTAGCAACAACTTTATTATTTTAAATGGAACACCCTGTATTTTATTGCATTTTCAGATTCTCTCTGAAGAGCTGATTTCATCGATGTATCACACTTGGGGTCTAGCGGAAATGATTACAGAGATATAGGGTGTGAAAAATCGACATTTTTCAACTTAAGGAATTTTTTTTGTCGAAACTATTCATTATTGGTCAAAACGGCTAACGTGTCCCTATGTCAACTTTTGATTAACTATCTACTGATATTTAATTGGGACATATACCGGGTGATCAAGATTCTGAATTCTGCACCACCCTGTATTTGTTTCAATTAAATGTCAGTAGATAGTTGATCAAAAGTTGAGATAGGGACATGTGAGCCGTTTCGACCAATAATGAATAGTTTCGACAAACAAAATTCCTAAAGTTGAAAAATGTCGATTTTTCACACCCTATATCTCCGTAATCATTTCCGCTAGACCCCAAGTATGATACATCGAAGAAGAGAGAGAGAGAAGAGAGAATCTGAAAATGCAATAAAATACAGGGTGTTTCATTTAAAATAACAAAGTTGTTGCTACTTTTCGATAGAAGCGGCAACGCCGCAGAGCTGAAAATATTTTAGATCGATAGACCAAGAGCAACTACGTCAAAATTTCAGAATGATCCTATGTCCCGTTCTCCGTAAACGTCTAACGTACCATGGACCGTGAGTTACCCTGTATAAAAAGTAACATATCAGTACATACCTATGAAAGTACGTCAAATTAGAAAATATTATCAGCATCGTTGCCAGTTCAACAGTTCAATTCGTAGATGTTGGATTATGAAGTCCAGAAATGTATACAGGGTATCTCTAAATGGGATTCACAAAATGCTTACACGAAAGTGGTTAGTAAACGGTTCCTGAGATATCGTCAAGGAATAGACATTTTGTGCCACCTTTTATATAGAAAACGGTGCGTTCGCGGACCTATGTTACTACGAAGTTGTTCAAGATACAGGGTACCAAAATTCAAAAATCAAATCTGTTCCTCGTAAACCAAGGTAAACATTGCAAAACGCTTCTACCCAATTGTGTTGAAATTCTGCAGTATTACCTATTCATAGTAGTAAGAGACTAATCATTCCATAATTGGATTCATAAAATGGTTATTTATGTATTATGTACCAAGAACGAAACACTGTCTATTATAGTCGAGTCTGCAAATAAAATTTTGACAAAACGATGATATCTCGTAGTTCGTAACATTTTGTATAATGGTATATTTGCTCGTATATTTGGTTACATATGATTGAAATGTTTCTACCTATCACCCCCTTTCAGATATACGTCGGTGGGGAACCAAACACCCTGTACTGATGATACTGTTTCCGACACATTTGCTGATTCGGAAAATTCTGTATCCACTATAACGCAAACTACCTTAAATTCTGAAATTGCATATGAAGTATTATCAAAAACGCATTATACATGGAGTACCTAAGAAAATGTATGAAAAAAGAAATAAGAATCGCAGAATATCCCACAATTAGATAATATGTCATAAGCAATTCACTGTATATTGATGGCCTAATTCTAACTCGTATTCCAGTTAGACTGTATTTTTTACAGGAGAGACGAAAAACTTTCCTGGAATGAATATATCACAGTGCATGTGAAGAAATCGAAGATTACATTGTTTGAATATCAGAGAAAGTAGTTATCAACTTGTATTAAAGTTACAATGAACAGTTTTTCTGCAGTGTGGGTTAGTGCTTCTGCACTGTGGGTTACGTAAGAAAGCACTCTGGTGTCACACACACTTTTCTATAATATTTATATAACTTCTTATAATGAGAGAAAAGACATTATAATGGAAAAAAGTCATTATAATTATTTTTCAAAAAAAAAAGTTTTCCAAACTATTATTTGCTAGTATTTGGTTACGTCAGCTTGGATCTTCCTATTCAATGGAATAGCAGGGTACGATATTCCAATTTCTCTTAAGTATGAGTGAGTTGGGATACAAAATACCTATTGGAAATGAGTTATATCACCGGATCACTTGAATGATGTAAATCCTTCCATTCCTCCCAGATTCAGGTTATCTCCATTCATGGAAATATGTGATAATCCTCACGTAAAAAATAAATAACTCAATTCAAATAGATCCTATGCGGAACGAACACCTTCAATTTAATTATTTCATTAAGTTTTTATGAAATGATGAACTCCATTGTTAATTATGCACATGAAGGGATTAAAGTGATGCCATTTTTAATGAAATGTAGAATAATTTATTCTCAGCTGGTTCATTGCTTTTTCGTCAATTTATGAGGATAGTCAGCTCAAAACGTGCACCATCCACTAACACTTGTGGATTCGGGTGGCTCACGACATTTTTCTTCCATTAGATTCTACTCATGATGATACTTCCTTATTTAAGATAGTAAAATAAAATATGTCTATTGGTGCAAGGAATATGAGCTTTTAGAATTAGAAGCGAATGATGTGGATTGTTATACGGATAAGTACGTCGAAACCTCGATTTCATAAAAATATTGGGATACGACCTGTTAGAATTAGACCATCGATATTATAATAGTCATATTCTTTTAATCTGAATTAACTGAAATATTTCACTTGAACTGAACTGAATCAGTATTGATATGCGCGTTTTCTCAAATGACGTTAGTTGTATGTCAACTGATTCAGCAGTGTCGGATTTAGACTTCGGCGGCCCATAGGCAGAGCATGTGGTGAAGGCCCTCAAATCGTTTGTGGTTAACTGTTGAATGTTTCTATCAAGGTCGAGGTAAAGAAGAAAGCAACTAAATAAGTTGACTAACAAAAAATGTATTCAAAATTAAACTAGAAAACAACAAAAATAATTTTAGTTTATCTACAAGCTGAATTATTTTTCGTCTCATTTTCACATCAATAAACGTATCGATAATATCGTCGAAGTCTGACTTTTTCCATAGAGAGAGGCGAGATAGCGAGACGCCGCTCTGTAGCTTCATAAACAAGCGTCGACTTAGACCAGCGAATCTTTCAAACATCCTGGTCAAGTGACGTCACCTACAACACATGATATTTCTTCCTTCTTTATATTGAGAAACTACGACTACTACGAGTAAAGCGATAGCTCAGTGGTCTGTGTATCTGACTTCCACGGTGGTGACTGGGGTTCAATGCCTGCTAGGCGTCAATTTTTTTTAATTTCTTTTCTCAATTAATCTTTGAAAAATATACTTCTCAGGAAAAAGGTTCATTTAGGATTAGTTAGATTGAAAGTAATTTCCTTTTTCATGCAGAAGAGATATTTTCCTTCATCATATTACATTAGTCTCATGAACACAAATAACCTTCTGTCAACCTTGAGGTTTGAAAGATTCGTTGGTCCAGCTAGACGCTTGTCTTCATAAACGCGTCTCACTCGCTTTTTTAATGGAAAATGTCCTGCTCTTTTGATAGCAAAAATTATTCGCGCGCCGTGTGACGCCATTTTTCCGCTGTTGCTATTACCATTGGTCTAGCGCGGCGCGGTAGAATGCGCGAAAGGCGCCATTTGTGTTCATATTTCGTGCTGCTCGATCTCGCAGATTTTTAAATGATGTTAACTTTTCCCGCTCAAAGATAAAAATAAGTTTTTCGTCCAACTATTTGTAAGAAAACTCAGTATTTTTGTGTTTCTACCGAGCCTTTATTGATTCAATTTTTTTTGTGGTGTGGTACCGTGTGGTGTCGGCCCCCTTCTGGTGGCGGCCCATAGGCAACCGCCTATGTTGCCTGTGCTTAAATCCGTTACTGTGATTCAGTTCAGTTCAAGTGAAATGTGACAGTTCGTTCAGAACGAAAGAATATCACAAATATTCAATTCAATTCAATTTATTGTGTCAAAAGAAAATTTACATTCTTATCACAAGAGGTTTGGTCCATTTTTTTTTTTCACTAAATACCTGACTATGAATGTGCATGTACATACATACATAGTTATATTGCGATGAAGTGCTTAATTGATTGAAACACAGTGAAAACAGAAAAACTGAAGAGAGAGGAAAAAGAGCAAGCAAATAGATGTGAGTGACAAACAAACCATTTCGGCTTGTGAAATAGTTATACATATATGGAAACGTTGAGTCATTCAGTCTGTTTTGATCATCACGTAAAAGAAAATGTTTGTATGATTCAAGAACCTCCGCACCTTTTTTTTTCAAATCAACAGCTCCAAAGTTCTCAATAAGAGAGTTCTATTGTCCAGAAATTGCCATATATTGTGCGATTTGACTTACATAATTGTATCTAATATCCATATTCTCACGTAATTGTATAAGGCGTTTGAAATATATTTTTGGTAAACGTGAGTCCGGTAGGTTATTAATGTGATATATCCATGACAAAGCAGTTTTCAGAATGAGGTGACTCAATTTGGTAGACTTCGATTCAAGTCTAACGATATAATCAGGGGTGTTTTTGGGTAAGCACAGAATTCTCTTGAGTAAATTAACTTGGATACGTACCACTAACAATAAGATAGTGAGGATAATATAATAGACTGGTATAAATGAATTCTTAAGTCCCAAGAATTGATTTTAGAGTTGGTCATTATGCCAATTACTGCTCCAAGGGCTTGTTTTGATTTAGTGACAGTTGAATTTGCTATATTCAGAAATAGTGATGACGATGAGAATACAACTCCTAAATACGTTAACATGCTCAATATTTCTAACTGTTCGTTGTTATAATAAAAATTTAAATTTCTGTTGCATATCGCAAATATCATATCGACACACCGAAACTAATTCGATCTTCCGTTCCAGACAACGGCTCGGTGGTCCCGGCGGGATGCGCCAGCGGCTACCTCGGCCGCCGGCGCACCGACCTCGTCCCCACCGTCCCGACGCGCGATCCGGCGCTGCACTCGTCCCGCAAGTCGCTGAACCACTCGCCAGGTAGGGCATACTCGATGACGCGGCTCGACCAGCTCGCGCGGCCGCGCCGCAGGCCCGACCTGCCCGCGCTCGCCGAGCATGCGCACGCGCTCCCCCCGCGTCCCCTCTCCTCGTCCCGCGTCTCCTCGAGCATGAGCCACCTGGCCGGCGGCCTGAGCCGGAGCGTGAGCCATCTGGTGAGCGACATGCCGCGCGCCACTCGGAGCAGTCAGTTGAGGGAGCAGAAGTTGAGCGCTGCCACCGGGTGCAGCGAGGGTACGTTTGGGTTGGTTCGTCGTACCGCTTAGGCCTGCCCCGTGCAGGGTGTTTCGCTAACGAGAGCTTGGTTTCCCGACTCGGCATCCCCCACCATCAAGGTATTGACGGGAAATAAGCGGAATGTTTGAAATGAGAATAATGCAGATTTAGTGATATGACAGATTCAAGACCATTTCGGTGATGTACATCAATGATGTATCACATAAATGATTTCCTATGCTGAGTTGAGTTCCATGTCAATGAAATAGTTCAATGAAAAATATCGTTTTTTCGAAATTGAAATAACTAACAGAATTATGTTTAACAATATAAATTATTATCAGCAGGTTCTAAAATTGTTCTATCCGTCATTCGGTTGCCCCCTTACGAGCAACCCTCAGAAGTCTTCGAGAGTCTTGTTGCGAGCAAGGAATGACGGGGGCCTTACCTTTTAACGTGTAAAAAAAATGTTGTTGTTGTTGTGATCCCAAACACTTTTGGCCATCAGAAAAATTTCTTCTTCTTCTTCTTAGTTTTTGATCTTTATCTATGTCAGACATTTCTGGAAGGAGTAGCAGATCTGTTACTCCCTCTTAGTTCAATGGAAACGAAATTGCAGATCAATTAATCTTGTTTTAGATCTTCCTTCAAATTTCAAAGTTGTTTACTTTAACTCTGAATGCGATAATGAATTTTTACAGAAATCATAGATATGTTCTGTTTCATATTGAAATCGAAAGAAAGTGAACAGACAAATCGATCGATGTGTTTTCAAAATTGCAAAATTTTGATTATAGTTCATTGGACGATGCAACCTATTATTTGAACATGAACTTGACCAAGCTGCCACACTTATTGACAAAGAAGTAAACAAGTTTGAATTTCCATTCGACTAAGAAGAATAAACCAGCAACTGCTATTATACTTCCAGAATGTCTGACATTCTGATATTGAGATTCCGAACTAAGAAGATGTTGAGAAATATGCCATCTTTAGTAACATCGAGTAATTCTGCTCATGATCATTCATATAGTAATACCTGGTAATACACAATTCTATTTATTTTTATCTCAAATAAATAATTAATATTTTTCATAGACAGTGAACTCATCAATGTTTAAAAACACCTCAGAATAAATTAGTTTTGTGATACATTGAACACATTACATTATTCATTATTGTCATTTCAAACTTCCCGCTTGTTTCCCGTCACGACCCTGATGGTGGGGGTGCCGAGCCGCAAAATCAAGGTCTCGTGTTTCGCTAGGGTAGGTAGAACACTGAAAAATATTTTGGGATTGCTTCATGACGGCATTCGTTTTCAAGATACAAGGTGTTGAAAAAAAATTAAACATTTTTTTATTGTTATGACAAACAAGCCTCTGAAGTAGTCTGAAGTAGAATTCTATCGTGAAGTCGACCTAGTAGGAGGGGGTATTAGAGAGAGTCACGCTCTTGGAAAATATACCACAGTTTTTCAAGCTTAAATATACGCCCTCCTGGTCATAACAACGGGGCAGGAGGTGAGAGGGGGGCCAGAGCGGAAAATTTATATCTACTGCCAAGCAGCACTCAAGGCGATCTGCCACCCCAGATCAAGTTCGGCAGTGGTACAGGAGTGTGGAGATGCACTTGAAGAACCAGCCGAATCAAAGGATGTCAAACTAAATAGCAGATGAACTAGCATGAATCTGTTCCGTGGCGACAGTTTGGGGGGAAACCTGTTTCGGAGGAATATCATCCGCTACAGGCATTCTGAAGACCTTGTGGCTGGATCCAGTAAGTCAAGGACGATATGGTTATTGGGCAGAGACCGTCAAGTATTCACCTCCTCATAAGTGTAGTTACAGGATACAACCGGCTAGGTCGGCACGTATCGCTAACAGGAGTAAAAGATAACCAGATGCCGTGAGTGTGGAGAAGATGATGAAGACGGCATACTACTACCTGGGCCACTTTGAAGATTCTGAATCTCAGATGCGCTTCACCAGGAAGATCTAATTAACTTGAGGTAGACGGACATACTGACCTTCATTAGGAGGTCACGGAGGTTCGAAACGGAGAATGAGGAGATGGAAAAGTAGATATGTGTGCAGCAGTGCTCAACAAGAAGCAAACCTAATTTTTTTTGCAGTGTACTACCTTCCCGAGTAACGGAACCACCTGTATAACGGCAGTGGCAGGGAGCGTCATACCCTTCTGTCACTGATTTGACAAATAATAGCAATTGACTTAATACGTGCATATTGTACTTTCACAAAGATTTGACAATTGTGCCAGACTGGGTTGACGCCACTGCTACTGGTCTTCTGTGGATGAGGCCTTACTTACTACCTTCTTGGTGGAATGACAATTTATTTTGATTGCTGCAATGTACGTCTAGGGTTGCCTTTTAGTGCGTAATGATACAGGATTCAGTTGGTTTGCTTGGGACAGGGCCTTCTCTATCTCACTGGTGCGAATTGAATCTTGATGGAGAAACACATCTTCATCGTAATTGTTGTCTTCACTTGAATTCTTGTATCCATGGAGAAATGTTGCATTACTCATACTACAACTATTGACATTCACTCTAGATCTGATAATTTCTTGAAATAATTATAGGATTTACAGATTACCGAAGACATCAGCTGATAATAATCTAGGTTCAGGTTTACTTAAATTGACAACCAAGTTAATCTAGAATAAAGCAGTCTGGTATTACCGATTCATTGTGGTTTATAATCTGTGCAGAATTCAGAATCTTGATCACCCGGTATATGTCCCAATTAAACATCAGTAGATAGTTAATCAAAAGTTGAGATAGGGACATGTAAGCCGTTTTGACCAATTATGAATAGTTTCGACACAAAAAATTCTTGAACTAGGAAAATCTCGATTTTTCACACCCTATATTTCAGTAATTATAACTGCTAGACCCCAAGTATGATGGGTCGTTGAAATCAGCTCATCAGGGAGAATCTCAAAATGAAATAATATAGAAAAAAGTTTAACTTCAGTGTTTTATGGTTTTTGGGGACACCCTGTATGTTTCGAAATAATTTTAAATGGTAGCCTATGTTGACATGCAACTTCCTAGAGAGGAAGAATTCCAAGAAGATAAGTGGTTAGCATTCTAGAGACCAAGGCGTTACTGGTGGCCCACCCTGTATAGAAGATGAACCTATTTAAAAAAGTTGAAGATTACGTTCGGGTGAGAAAAAATGTCACCAAAAATAATGAATAATGAATGAATAATTTTGAAATAAGAAAAAAAGAACAAAAAATGTTGATTCCTACCATCAAAACCAAACAAACATATACAACACAAACATGATCACTTTGAAGAGTCTGATATTAATTTATGGGAGAAATCAACCCACTTATGTGACAACTGTATCGACAAGGGGGAAAGGTTACGGCCAGATGAGATAGAGAAGTTCCTGGATCAGGCCCTCCAAATCAGGTATTCCAGTATGCTATCGAAATTCTCTTTTACAATATATACTGTTCTAGATCTGCTCTTTCCATACCATCCTGTACAAGACATTGAAAGTCATGTTGCATGTGAAACAGAAACAAACTCATATCTTGCATAAAAAAGGGTTTAGACCAAAGATGAGTGAAGAATTTATTGAAAATTATCTAAGAACTCAGTAGTTTTGACTTAACCAGAACACAACATTTAGTTTTAATATTCTGGACCTTCTGGAATAAGTGATAGTTTCACAAACATTTCAGTTTTTATAAGAACGAAAGTTTGTTTACTTTTCAATTGCAGTTCAATTTTTATTTGATAAACATATTTTTTGAGGCCTAAAAATATCGGTTTAATGAAGACACCAAAATTGTACCACTTAATCTCATTTCAAATTGCTGTTTTGTTGTTGCTAGAGGGCTCCAAAGTTAATTGAAATTATACACACATACACATTCTGTACATTTTGTATAAACTAAATATCACTTGAACTATGTTGAAAACCTGTTCCCTATTTTTTTAAATATTCTTCCTATTCTTAGATATTCACGTTTGATCGAGAACATGAAATGTTCATATATAACATTAATAAATTGGATTTAAATATTTGTTGTGACTAAAGTGTGAAATATAGCAAACATTTGGCAGATATTTTCACATTTGAATGAAAATTTTATACATATTTACCAATATCCCTGGTTCCCATTATTGACGTATGTAGATGAACAAACAATTTGAAATTGAGTTAGTTCAAGACTTTGGTCAGCCTTTCCCATTCATTTTGAAATCTCCTATAATATTTCATAATCAAGATATGTAGTATAGTCTTCTTCTTGTAGTAAACATTAGAATCTTATATTTCATTTATTTGATTTAATTCAATTAGTAAAGTATCTAGGCCATTCTATATGAAATCATTTAATCCATAAAACTAGTCAGTATTAATTGGGCAAGACAGAATATTGTCATTTCACCAATATTTCAGTAACAACGGTTATGGAACCAAATGGTGGAAGTATCATATTATTTAGAACCCAAACTGTATCTTGATGTGTTGGTGGCAGGTAACATTCCCTTCATTCCAGTGGAATACTATTTACAGGATTATGAAACTTCATCATCTGTTCATTTCTCTCTTTTTAGATATGGCTCCTCATTTTTCAAATAAAAAAAGTATATCTGGAGGACAGATCAGTTAATCCATCTCATATCATGTCTTAGTCAATTGTAAAACTACCCTCAAAAGACCTAGCATGGTTCAATGGTCTTTGTCAAGTATTTGCGGTGGAAAATACACGGTGGTGGCAAGAAATCAAATTGGTTGTGGAAGACAAAAAATCAAAAAGAAATGATAGAGTACATTTCTGTTGAAAATAGTCATTACATAGCAATGTAAGACAAGCTGTTTAATTCCCGAGATGCTTCAGCTAAGAGGGAAACTTGGGAAGCAAGGAGAGAATAGTCTATCCGTGGTTAATATATTAGTTCTTCCACTACTAGCACATATTCTCCTAATATAATAGTTTTTGGACTAATAATCATCACTTCCATTGAATGGTTGATGTTGTCAATGCAAGTCGTTGAGAGTAGTCGAATGAGTAACATTTCACTTGAAAATCGAATTCAGAACATCTCAGAGTGGATCTGTATTCTCACCCTCGAACTGTAATTATTTGTTTTCCATTTTGTCAATTTGATACTATGAAAACAAACCTGCAGCAATATGTTTTTTCACAATATCTGGCTTTTGCTATATTGTTTTCAAATCCAGTTAGATAGACATTTCATTGAAACTTGAACTTATTATTTGGAAGTGATCGTCAATATTTCCAATAGTGGTTCCCAGATGTGCAGATATGAACGTAGGTAGTCGATATCAAAAATTGAGAATGTACATTGGTGATCTTCTTGGTACTGGTAAACCAAGAAGTTACATAATTTCTTAATTTTAAGGTGGTGGCTCATCGCGATTTCCCTCATGATATAAAATTAACTTTTTTATTCTAGGCTGATTTGCACGATTTTTAAAATGATTTCCACAAGCACTGAAATCGTAGGTTCTGAAAATGTGTGTCTGATAATGAAGAAAAGTATCTCGGAAGAATGTATGATACATATTTTCAGAAACTGTGAATGCACTACTAGAATGCTGCCTATACTAATTACTGAAATTATCCCAAATACTTATTCCCTCAACATACTATCAATGGTTCAACCAGAAGTGATGAATTTTAATTTATTTTGCAAAAAGTTCAATTAATTCGTACATTTTGAGTTTCTGCTCAACTTTTTTCCTTCTCCAAAACTATTTTCACATTTTCAAATCTGGCTGAAGACCATAAATAATTCAAACATACCACCAGGTTTGATGCAGTAACATCAAACTACTACAACGATTTCAGCAAAAAACTCGTCCATAATAAGTTTGATGAGTGCGACAGAGATATCTTCACAATGTCACATATTTATCAAGCATGTACAAAGAAGATATTTTCAACAAAATTAGAAGTATGTTTTTCTAATGATCCATTCCATAAAATATAGGCAATGCCAGAGATAACATTTTCTGATGTGCATTTTATTCTAATAGATAACATCAATGCATTACAGAGTTATATAATTCCATAATCAAAGGTTCGTATTATCATTGGTTCGCCGTAGACAAAATGGATTAAATAATGAGAGTGTGTTCACTCTGTAGTCATATCCGAATGTCATGCAATTAACATCCCTTTTTTTTTTTCTCCCAATTTGTTTTTTGCTTTAGTAGATAAGATTATCATGCACTCGTTTAACTTTGTTTGCTTTTCAATTGAAACAATGTGAAGTAGGTAGGTATTTAAAAAAACTGACCTCTAAATAGAATAATTATTGTAGTATTGTTTCAGTTGAAAATCATTGCTATCTCACATAATATGCATAGATTTAATAAAACATAATTCTTACAGGATGCCTTTTATGAAACTTCATATTTCTTAGAAATAATCGAGATTTGCAGTAGATTTGTATCTAGATTATTATTAGTCTATCTTGAGTATCATTTCTTAGAGAACCCTTTCGTATTAGAGCTTGAATGTTTCCGATAAGGCATCCTTGGTCGAAAAAATTCACAGGATATTTGAATATTCGTATGGAAATAATAAAGAAACAACTCAACTGTAACTGAAAATTATATGGTTTTAGAGTATCATTATTACCTACTGTATTGTGAGGCAAACTTCAGAACTACTTAAAAAAATAATCCATATTTATATAGATATATATTTAAAAAAAGCCTCGTCGTAGTCTTAACGACTACAAAATTGTGTTGTTGATTTTGCTAGGAGAATAGGGGACATATGCTGTTGAATAGCGTTTTCCACTCGTCCATTTATATAGCTCCCTAGCATCCAGCAACTACAAGTGGCACTTACTCGGTTTATTCCTAGTGCGTTTCTCGCACAGGGTAGTGGAAATCAAACTTGATCTCAGGAGCCGTATGAACTGAAAAGTCAATTTATTTGAGATATTGTCTTTGCAAAATGTGTTTTGTCTATACCAAATCTATTCCTAACATCTCCAATGCGAGTTTTATTCCCTGCAAGGAATTCTCAGGTAGATTCATATTTTTTGTTTTTTTTTCTACACCGCATAATTTGAATCGATTTCTCATCATCAACTGTATCTGAAAAATCTATGTACATATCATTTAAAAATCAAATTCAATGATATAAGATATATTCATAATACCCCGATGATTCTAGGCTATGTTCTCGCCCAAGCACGGTTCTGAAAATTCAAACTAAGGGCGAGCCTAGCGAGCAATTTTGCAAGCCAGATATAATCATTTCTCACACTATCCGCTACATTCTTAACCGATATGCAATATGGTGATGTACGAACAGGATTCGAAAGCTTATATTAGGCTGGTGGCATAAACGACCCTGTTAACTTGCCGAAAAATCAATTGTATTGCCTCGGCTTTTTTTATTTGATCCTGCTTTTTCTTTGGAAAACTGATCGACAGCAAAATGAGAAATAGACGGGCCTCCGCAAATTCTAAGAAATTTTCCATCTTCTTGTTTTAGATCGCTCAAGTTTTCTTTGGAATACCAGATGATTACGTCAATTATCAACTTAGTGCGAATTCGAAAGTTTCTGTGAATAGAGTACCCTTGAATAAAGGATGGTGAAAGCTGTAATTTTTTATAGTTATCTCGCCCCTTAATATGCACTTTCACTGATATTCCATATAAATCGTATACAGTCCACTATTTCAAATATACCCCGATGTTAGGGGTTTAGAATGAAAATACGGGAAAACGCTCGGACCTGTAGTTTTCTGATTCGAGAGGGAAACGACTTTTTTGTTTTTTTTTCTTTTGGAGCGCACGAAAGGAAATTCCTAAAATGTTCGTGGAACATCGTGCGTGCCTAGGGAGGATATAGGGAAAGGAGGTAGGTGTTGGATTATTTTTTTGAACTTTTGGAGGTTATAAGCTCTTGGGAATACTTCCATTGGCAAAGAATTTCAAAGCTTGGCCGTTCTATAAACGAACGAGTTTTGATAGAGTGTTGTTCGACATATTTCAAGGTTAACTACGAAAGAATGTGCTGACTGGGCCTGTCGAGTTCGCCTGACTGGTATTGCTAGTGATGGAATTATTGCAAAGATTTCTGAGGAACATTTTCCGTGGAAGTATCTATAGAAAAGTGAAAGTTTGCCGACTTTTCTATGGTGTTATAATGAGGTCAAAGAGTTATTAGTGAGTGTGGCATTACCCACCAGGCGAATGACTCTTTTCATCAGCGTATTTTTGGGTGCTAAACATGAGAATAGTATTCTAAAACTGGCCGTATCTGTGCCTTGTGGATCATGAGAAGCTGTTGAGGTGTAAAGTAGATTTTCGCACGGAAGAAGAATCCAAGTTTTTGTGAAGCAGCTTTTGCGATAGATCGGACATGATTTTCCCATGAGAGAATATTGCTGATGATAATACCGAGCGATAAAAAAAATAGATATGGTGGTCCTGGAGGGAATGGTGGTACCAGACATTGGTATATCAGTTGAGTTTTGGTGGCGTTGGATTCAACGAGATTGGTATTGTGACCCCCTAACCTTCACTTACCTTTAAAACGAAGTTTCATCCGAAAGAATTGGTATCGTGACCCCCTAACCTTCACTTACCTTTCAAACGAAGTTTCATCCGAAAGAATTGGTATCGTGACATCCTTACCTTCACTTACCTTTCAAACGAAGTTTCATCCGAAAGAATTGGTATCGTGACTCCCTAACCTTCACTTACCTTTCAAACGAAGTTTCATCCGAAAGAATTGGTATCTTGACCTCCTAGCCTTCAAGCCAACGCATATTCAAACATCCTGTGTCACGCTTCCCAACTCCCCAACGCCAACTAATCCTTCTTCCCGCATACAGCGTCTTCTCGACCGAGCAGCTCGCTGAGCCAGCAGAGCACGAACAGCGTCGCGAGCTCGGCCAGCGTGCGGCACCGGATGAGCGCCGCCCCGCGCAAGCCGAGGCCAGTCAGCATAGCGGTCACCGGCGTCACGCACGACCTCAGGAACGATACGGCGAAGCCCCCGCTGCCGAGGGCTCGCAGGGTCATAGGCAAAGCGGGTGAGAGGACCGAGAAGAGCGACAAGGCGGTCGAGAAGAGCGACAAGGCGAGCGAGAAGAGTGACAAGCCGGGCGAGAAGAGAGAGAAGGGCGACAGGGTGGGCGAGAGGAACGAGAAGGAAAGGGTTGCGGCTGCGCCAAGGCCGAAGGTCAAGTCACCGGTCGATGTGGCGAGCAAGGCAGGGGAAAATGCCGGGCAGGTGGTGAGTAAGGTGAGTGTAGAGTAGAGTAGATTTATTTGATCACGTTACAATTTGAGATGTTTGTGGTCTGACCATTGATGCATTACGGGTGTTATAGCGGTGGTTATCTGACTGCAGACAGAGAATCTTTCTGACTATGAATTTGAATCAATGTGTTGAATATGTAGATTGCCGGGAGTGGCATTATGTCCAATTTTGTGAAGAGAGGACGACAGTGTTCACGGGGACCAACTTTGGATAAAATTCTTATTGCCTTTTTTTGGAGCCTAAAAACTCTTATGGAATCAGTGGAGCCCCCCCATAGGACAGTGCCATAGGAGATGACTGTGTAAAAAAGAGAAAAGTATGCCGTTCTTTGAATTTCTAGACTTGTCAACCTACTGAGTTGCCTAAGTAAAAAAAGCACACTCGCTAATTTCCTCTGAATAAAATCGATGTGGTTGCGCCATGGGTTGCGGTTGGGGTACCCCAAGCTTGATAGGGATAGTTTCAGAGCTGGTATTATATTACATATTGACATCTGTTTTCTAGGTATGATTTCATTAATGAAAGAGGTACCCCGCTGGCTCCCTAGTAGTTGAGTTTCTCGATCAAAATATCGTGAGAGACACAGTCGAAGGCCTTGGTGAGATCACACAAAAGTGATAAATGTGTGATTACCACTTTCCAGGCCCTCGACTATGTCGCTCACTAATTTCTGCCTTGCCTCTGTATCGTGCTTCTCTTCGGACGAAAACCAAAATGATTTCCTTTCAAGTAAAACTTAGCTTCAAAATATTTCAACAGTCTGGCCTTCAGTAATGTCTCAATTATTTTGGAAAATATTGAAACTATACTGATTTGTCTATAATTGTCTGGTGCAGACATATCTCCTTTTCTTTTGAAGATAGGAATAACTTTTGATAGTTTAAGTACATTTGGAAATTGGCCAGTGGAGAACATGAGATTTATTAAGGAGGTCATTGGTCCCAATAAAATTTCTGAGGATTCTTCAATAATACCACTATGCAGGCTATGGCAATCAGTTGACATGGAATTTTTCAAATTATGGATTACTGCATATGCCTCTGCTTCGTCCACAGGCTTCAGGAAGAATGAGTCACATGGTGCTGGAAAGTTTTTGAAATTGTTTAATTGGTTCACATCCAAGGTTGGTAGTGTTTTGATAATGTTTTCTGCTACATTTCCAAAAAACTGATTAAAGTGGTCTGGGGATATGTCAGAAATCTTGTTACTTGTTTTCTTCATTTTTTGGTTTATGTTTTCCCAAGATGCTTTGGAGATATTTTCAGATTTTATTAGGTAGTCATCATGGGCCTGTTTTTTTGCTTTTTTAATTTCTAATCTATAATTCCGCTTCAAAATTTTATAGATTCCAAGATACATAGGATTACCACTTACTTGTCCTACATGTTGGTATTTTTCCAGATTATCTCTCTGTTTTTTGAGGTTATCATTGAACCACTTAATTTTGGAGCCAGGTTTGCTTTTATTGACCTTCGTATGAAGAGGAAATGCTTGTTTCACAAGAGTTTCATATGTGGTGACTATGTGGGTGGCAATGCAGTGGGAAACGGGAGAGGTCTGCTAATGGCAACGTCTCAGCTTCAGAGAGGGGACTAGGGTTGTCAGGTGTGAGGAGTGGAGCAGCGTCGAGGTACTTGAATGAATTGATGAACGAATGATGAATGGAATTTATTGGATATCCTGATACAAACTTATTTCTTTTTTATTCATCGCTTGGAGCGCACGATAGGAAATCCCTATAATGTTCAAAGAACATCGTGCGTTCCTAGGGAGGATAGGGACAGGAGGTAGGTATTGGAATTTTTTTTGAACTTCTGGAGATTATATGTTGTTGGGAATACTTCTACAGGCAATGAATTCCAGAGCCTAGCCGTTCTATGGAAGAAAGAGTTTTGATAAAGTGCTGTTCGACATCTTTCGAGGTTGACAACGAAAGGATGTGCTGACTGGGCTTGTCTAGTTCGTCTGACTGGTATTGCTAGTGAAAGGATGATATCAGAGATTTCCGAAGAACATTTCCCGTGGAAGTATTGGTAGAAAAGTGAAAGGTCGCCGACCTTCCTACGGTGTTCCAATGATGTCAAAGAGTGAGTGAGTGAGTGTGGCGTCATCCACCAGGCGAATGGCTCTTCTCTGGATGGAATCTAAGAGCAGCAGCGTATGTTTTGGTGCTGAACCCCATATGTGGAAATAGTATTCTAGAACAGGCCGTATCTGCGCTCTGTAGATCATGAGAAGCTGTTGAGGTGTAAAGTAGCTTTTCGCACGGAACAAGAATTCGAGTTTTTGCGATGGATCTGACATGATTATCCCATGAAAGAGTGTTGCTGATAGAAATACCGAGCATAGATATGGTGGGCTTGGTGGGGATGGTGGTGCCAGACATTACAATATCGGGCATACTGAGTTCCGCCTTTCTAGAGAAAATACAGGCTTGAGTTTTGGTGGTGTTGAATTCAACTAGGTTGTTGGTTGCCCTGGCTGTGATTTCAGCAAGGTCTTCATTGACAGCATTGACCTGCCTGCGCCGTGAGTTCTTAGTTTCCTGGGAAGAAATGGGAATTCTGGAAGAGAACGCAGTATGGAGGGTACTATCATCGGCAAAGCTGTGGATGGGGCAAGTTGTTACTCCCAACAGATCATTGATATGAAGAAGGAATAATGTTGGTACCAAAATGGATCCTTGTGGAACGCCGGAATTGATGCCAATGGTATCAGACGATACACCGTCCACCACCACGTGAAGCGATCTGCCTGAAAGACAACTCATAAGAGATGGCATAGCTGAGGTGGTAAGCCGTATGATGGTAGTTTGTGGAGGAGTCTTTCGTGCCAAACACGGTCGAATGCTTTCGATATGTCCAACGCGACAGCTAGAGATTTGTTTGTACAAATCATTTGTATAATATGAATGAATACTGGTGTCTTGCAGGTTGTAAACCTCATAGGAACTGGCAGGAGACATCATTTAGAATCTAAACAGCCACACTTACTTCGGTACAAAGTCTCGCGGTTTTCGAGGTACTCGTCAATCTGGAATTTTTTGAGAAATCTCTGAAACGCATCATGAGGGATGTTTTATTTGTTTTCTAACATTTGTCTGTGACTTGAATGTTCTTATGAAGACTACTACTATGAAGAAAGGAATTGTAGGACATGTAACTAAAGCACGGAATACATTTCTGTATAAGACCAGAAATTTAACAAAGTAGTCAATCATTATTATTATTTCCCCAGTACTGGTAACTTCTACTAGGTTTTCATTATTCAGATGTCTGTACCAATTATCTGTCTGTTTTTATTTCAATCCATATTTTCTCCCAGAAAATGTTATATGATATTATATGAGCATGAAATCTCATTTTTCTTATTATTTTTGCCGTTATCATTATCATTTATTGTTATTATTGATTGAATATTCTTAAGGACGAGACCCAGCAGAAGCCACCGGATATTGCACCTGTTATATCGCAGGTAAATGAACAGAATTTGGAAGAAAATGGAAAGCTCGAGGAAAGCATTACAGATGCTGGTGCGAACATAAAAGAGTAAGTAATTTAATGTTTAAAGTTCTATGACAAAGAAACCTGAGCCACAAAACTTGTCAAAATGAATTATTCAAATAGACCTCACATGTCACAGACTAATACCTTTATATTTTTCAAACTAGTTGTATCTGTTGAGTTTTAGAATAAAAGTGGGCCAAGCCCAATAAATCGTTAGTGTTTTTTGCAGATAATGCTCAACCCCCTCAGCCATAGGGAGTTGAATAAACCATGTTTCAAACAAATAAGTTCAGAATAAAAACTAATCCAGAGCTAACCATATATTATAAGGAAGTAATAGTAGTGATGACTATTCATAAAAATTTTAATTTACCAAAATCATTAAAAATCAACTTAAGCAAAAATCCATGCCATCTAGTTCATTTTTGAATGGAATGTTCTACAGACCATACAGGATTAGCTAGCCTGTGCACAATTGTTAAATCGCTTAGTTTGTAAAGTATATACAGGGTGAATGGTGAAATAGGGTAAATCAAGACGAGTTGTTGTATATACAGTGAGCATGTTCAGGTTGGACCAAATTCGTTAAAAGCTTAATGTGACCTTACAGAACGCTCAGACACGTCGATTTTCTTTTTCAGTTGCGCATTGTTTTGTCTACTCATATTTTTGATGACGTCATCACTGTTTGAGTTATTACATCAATATATCTTTTTCTAAATGGCGATACCCCATTTTGATGATACCGTCAATAAGATCGCATTTTTCTTTGTATGGTCGTCGTCGAACAGAGATGACGTCATCAAAAATATGGGTAGACCAAAAAATGCGCAACTGGACATAGATAGATAGATCTTTATTTAACTACGTGATGTATAAAACATTTGTAGCAAGTCAGGTAGCAAGTAGTTACAAAAAGTACAGTACAATATTTACTAAATAAATAAAATAACAATGATATTAAAATAAAATAATATGTGTACATTACAACATATCATACACATATAGTAGACACAATAATCATTGGGACATATAACAGTATTGGAGTATTGGAGCATAAATATATGTGTTTCAGTTTTTCAAATCACATCCTGGGTGGGTCAGCCATATACTCAGCAATACTGTAGTAGCATTTTTCCTGTAATATCACTTTGAGAGAGTTTTTAAATGTCGATTGATTTTCATGCTTTAGTGTTGCAGGAAGTATATTGTAAAGGTCAACAATCATTGAGTTTTTCAATGACTTGTTGAATTTAAATCTTCGAGACCTGATCAAATTTGCATTGCGTGTGTTATGATCATGGTAATTTGAGTTAGTCAGGAGTTTATTTTTATTTTCATGAATCTCGAGCAGAGACTGATAAATATACAAAGTTGGTAAAGGCATGATATTGAGTTGGCAAAATAATGGCCGACAGGAATCTCTGTAACCCGCACTACAGATTATTCTAATGGATTGCTTTTGAATCTTGAACACTTTTCCAGAGTAGGAGGAATTTCCCCAAAGGGTCAATCCGTAGCTGATATATGATTGGATGAGAGCAAAGTACGCGGAAAGAAGAGTATTTTTATCAACAAACGCTTTTAGTTTTCTCAGAAGAAAATTGTGTTTGCTCAACTTGGAACAGGTATTTTCAATGTGTGGTTCCCAGCTTAAACTATCGTCAATATTAAGCTTTCAACGGATGTGTTTCAACCTTTACGTGCTCACTGTACATAAAAAAGTTTTTCGGCCATCATTTAACTTTGATTGCCGATATTCCAGATGATTCATCGTAATTTGCTAAAATTTGGCAGCGAAATGTCTCTTTTGAGACTATTCAAGATGGCATATTATGAAAAAAATCCAGATCCGGATTTGGGAATGATTCATGTTTTATTGTTATGTCAAAAAAGTTGTCGTGAAAGTTTTACTGCCTACGTTTTCTTGGGTCTGGAAATATTCTATGGTATTGAATATTGCAGGATTCGGATATTCGTCATGTTCAGCATTTGAAAAATGAACTGGCATCTTAAGTGCAAGCATATTCTTCGATTATCAACATTCACCACGTCACATCATGAAATGAAAAACATGGCCTACTTCAATACAAATTTATAAAATAGAGTCACAACTAATATCTTTCTAGAATTTCGATAGTAAATGTACATTTCAAATTATGAAAACACCAGAACGTGTTTTTTTGGCTACCCTTTTCTGTCAATTTGTATCCAACAAAAATATACAAAAAGCCAATTCACATGAATCCAGTTAAGTAAGAGTTATCAGCCAGGTCGAAATTGAAAATTCCATAGAACATTTTTGGTTAATATGTTTCCATTGATCCGGTCAAAGTGTGCCGTGCAAATTGAAAAGCAGTTCATATGGCATTTTGTCTGATCTTTTTGAATATGGTGAAATTTTGCGAGAAAAGTGAGCACAAAGGAAATTTTTTCGAAACAATAATAAATAATGAATTTTTCTCAAGTTCGGAACTGGATTTTTTTTCATAATATGCCATCTTGAATAGTTTCAATATATTGGTGGACGGTGGCGAAACGTCATTGACGAATTTCAGAAACTTATCGGAAATATCGGCCATCAAAGTTATATAGCAATTTCACATAATACCCTGTATGCACAACAACAGTTTTCTGTTATGATAAATATAGAATTACTTTCTTTTGTAAATATTATTATTGTCACTTATATATTGTGCAGGTTCTATTTGAATTAAATTTGTGAGGATATTTGCAGATCTCATTTACTTGCATAAGTTTTCCACTTTTTTTACATTACTTTTTGAACTTTCGGCATCACTAATGGGTGGGGTTGAATAACTCGACTTGTTTTGTATATTAGCAGGTTTTCCGTCATAGATATAATATTAAATTATGATTTGTTGATTTATTACTGAAATAATTCTTCATCATTTACAGCGACCCAAATAAGGAAAATGTGCCTGAAAGCAAAAAGAGTGATATAGAATTAGTATCTGAGAGCAGAGTAGTTGATAAAGTAGAAATTGTAGAAGATAATATGCGAGAGGGAATCAAAGAAGAAAGCAGAGAAATGGAACGACAAGTGGTAACTAAAATTGACACAGCTGAGATTAAATCAGAAGAAAAGAGAGAGGGAATTAAATCGGAAGAACCTCCACAGACATTACCAGTCTCATTACCAAACACAAATGAAGTATCTAATGGCGAAAATATTGAAACCAGTGAGAACATTGAGAGTAATTCCGTCAATGAGATGACAGCTTCAATGACCAAGATCCGCATAACCACAGAAGAAGAGGCCAAAGCTGCACTGGCAGAAAGAAGGCGATTGATTCGTGAAGAAGCTGAAAGACAAGCTGAAATGGAGAGATTACGAATTGAGGCTGAAGCCAAAGCTGAGATAGAGAGGCAGCAGAGAGAGGAAGAGCAAGTCAGACATTTGATTGAGTTGCAAAGACAAACTGAGCAAGAGAGGTTGCAAGAGGTATTTTTTTTTTCGTTCGATAACATATTGAAGAATCAAAGTACATGTGTATATTGCTGATTTGATAAATTCCTATTTTGTTAACCACTTCTTCAGTATCGGTCAGCCTCCGCCAACTTTTATTGTGTTTCAGGCAATAAGAGAAACTCAGAAACGTGAAGAAGAAGAAAGGCTGAGACGGGAGGAAGAGCAAAGATTAAAGGTACTCAAGGAAGAGTCTGATAGGAAAGCTAAAGAAGAAGCTGAGAAACAGAAGGCGGAGTTGCAGGAAAAATTGAAGAATGAAGAGAAAGAAAGAGAAGCCAGGCGTAAAAGAGTAGAAGCGATCATGTTGAGAACAAGAGGAAAAAATAACGCCAATTTACCATCACAACAGGTGACTTTATAAATACTGGTTAGTATTTTCATCTTCGATCAATATTTTTTTTTTCATTCCTAGAGCACAGATGATAAAAATAATGAGAATAAGTCTGATGAAAATAAAGATAATGATAGTAAAGTGAATGGAACGAAGATAGTAGAACAGCAAGAAAATGGGACTACAAATAGTAGTGAAGATGCAGATATTGTCGATAATATGTAAGTACTTTCAAAGTTTTCAATTGAAATATGTGGTATTGTTTGCTCTCTTTGAAATAACGTGACGTGGACAAAGTTTGCTGTCAATATAGGTTTTTTGCATTACATTTTCCACGAGTTTAACGGAGCCCGATTAGGGGTGTCGAGCTCGTAAACGGGGTAAGATACAACATATAAATTTTCAATAGAATGTGGATTGCTATGACCTACAACTACAAATTGTGTTAACAATTTTTTGAAATCAGGGCTGAAATTCTTCTTTCTATGAATGAAGTTGCCAATTCTGATTGCTTTGATAACGGCACTGCCTGTGACTTCAAATTCATGTTCAGAATACTTAGAACATTTCAGGCATCCTATTCAATTTATCATTAAAACAATACTCCCATTGGGTGTCGTTGTGTTGTATGCAGCTAGTATCAACCAATGATATAAATGATGACAATAACAATTTCATAATGTCAATTCGAATCCGTAAGCTCAGTTAGGTACATACATATGACAGCAGTACGCTACTTTCGAAGACCTACGTGGGATCGAGAGATCATTTTAATCGGACTATACCTATCAACCAACATTTTCTGAACTAGTACTAGAAATGAGTACTATTCTGACAGAAAACATGATTTTCTGCCAAGGTGTTCAAAAAATAGATCACTAATTGAGAGCAAAAGTTTATTTGCGTTCGATTACTGCGGTTTACTACTAAAATATACCTTTGACGAAAATGTACAGGTATTATTTTTCTTTTCGAATTGTATGGAACCCTTATGTAAGTCAAACTCGCACTCGAATGCATTTTGCATTTTATATGGTATATTACCAAATATTGTGAACGCAGATTGTTATGAAGAGGCCATCAAGTTACAATGACAACATTGTACATCCAATACCATGTCGGCGGTTTCAACTGCTGTTCAATGAATTTTTTTTTCTCTGGTATCCATGTATCAGTGAAATAATACGATATTTTTTTTTAGTATTCCCAGTGAAATAGTGAAAAATGCCAACACAGTTACAATAGAAACCATGAATAGTAGCGATTCCTTAAATTCAAATAATTCGTGGCGAGGCTCACAACAGTACGGTAATTTTGTATGTAATAACAATAGCTAAAAGAAAACAAATATCTGTATTTTTCAGATTCATTGATGTGAGAAACTAAGATATAGGTTATACATAATAGTAGATACCGAACATATGTGTGTATGTATTGAATGAATACATGCACACATATACATGTAATATTTTATTGATTCATTCATAAAATGCCCTTATCTAACTTATTGATTGTTAATGTTTGTATACACTTTTTTTTTATTTTCATGACCCTAAAATTGTAATCTAAATTAATCTCATGAAAATATTCTTATCCATATAGAGACAGTAGAAAATCCATTGAAAAATCTAATATATTGAAAATAGATAATTTAGGCTTTGTATAATACGCAAGTTTTTTATTTAAATACTACTTCTCCTATAATATTACTTTTGAGATTTGATGTTGATTTGACTTTATGGTTTTTCTACTCCCTTTCAGCTACGGTAATATTTTGAACCCTGTTATATATTTTTCAATAATATGTAATGTGTATACAGGCAAGTGATAGGTGCATAGAAATATGGCAACTCTAATTATAAATTGGTTAAATAATGACTGAGAGTGTACCTACGATTCGAAAATTTACGATCAGGAGCAAAAGCGATGTGATTTTCAGTATTAGAATTGCTTCTGATCGTTTATTGAACATTGAACTCTTCCAATTTTTTATTTGACAAACTCGGTCTGTGCTAGTCATCTCAATTATATGTAAAATTTGTTGTGTAATTATTACTTATTATACTCTGCTGTTGGGGCACTGCCCATCTATTTTTTATTAATATGGCAGTTTTAATTTATATTATCTGCATTTTTAATATTTTTTACTATGATTGAAGTTTGGATTATGTTTGAAAGATATATTTATCACACGGAAAGGGTAATTTTGTTATTTAGTATAAAATTATATATTTCAAATTGTAAATTCCCATTGAAAATTACTGTTGATAAATGTTCATCCTGGTAGAAGTATCAACAACCTCCAATGTATTCTCAACTAAAGTTTTAGGACTATTTATTGCATTGTAAATATAACTAGATCGTAATTTATGGAGTGGGTGAAAAAAAGTGATTCCATTCAATGTTTCTTCATGCAGTTCTCATTATCCAATTGATTACCTAATCATAAATATGAAGAATCTCGATAAATGTGTCGAAACTTTCACTAGAATTTTGTTTTGTCAAAAGTTATCTGAAATAATGTAAACTTGGAAATATCAACCCATATTATCCCTGCACGTTGATTTCCTGATACCTTTCGAATTTGTTCAATACATTAGGGCTGTCATGTAATGGCAAACGAAACTTTTTTCGAATATTTTTTTCTCACGACTTTTTCCGAAGTTGGATAAAAATTTTGACATTTTGACGTCAGTCAAGTAATGTTTCGAATGAAATCGATTCAATAAGTATTAGACACATTCTCTCGGCCAGTTCACCTTGAAATGGTGCCTACATTTTATATTCATCAGAAGTGTGGGGTTGAAGCATAGCTTATTCAAGAAAGTATTGCGTCCATAAAGAAATCTGCTTTTTGATACCTAGATGTCAGGCAATAATTTCGAATGATTTACATCTGCATGGATTAAGCATATTACAATTTTTTCATGAACTCATAATCAATTGTATTGTTTGTAATTATTCTAATTGTTTTTCATCCAGTGATTTGTTTTATACACTTTTTTGTAATATTTCGAGTATTCAACTAGATACATTTTAAGAGCCTACCCACTCCGCATCGATGGAATTCGGTATCTGTGAATTCTACTAGGTGTTATGAATTAGATAGGATGGTGGATGATGACAGAAAAAAATGTAGCTTGTGGTTATAACATAATCTTGGCTTGTTCAACAAGATTTGTGATGCAGAAATATAATAATATTTAATCTCTTTCATAAAAGGTGAATGGCTATTCCAAAACTATTGTCATTATTCACATGAGTTGCATAACACATCTACTTTTCATTTACCAGTAACTTTCATAATCATCTCTGTATATTTTAATGAATTTACCAGATGGAGGCAATTATAGGAATAATAAAAAAATACCAATATAAATTATAACTTTCAATAACAATATGTGGTTGAATTGCTTGTTAAAAGTGCTTAATAAATGTAAAATTTATTTATGATCCTTGTTTTTTTTTTGAGGAAACATGAAAAATGCATTCACCGGCAATAGTATATTATGTAACAAGTGTTATAAACGTCCTTTTAGCAACGAGTATTTTAAGCACGAGCGGAGCAGAGCGGAGCGAGTGTGTAATAAACGAGTGTCTAGAAGAGTTTATAAACGCGTTACATACTTTGCTTTTTCTACGAACTCCGAAAATTACATTAACATACCTGCTATTCCTGCCAACCTACAAAATAATTCGAAAGGAATGGGAATTGAGAACAATACATGCAACTGCATGCAACCAGCGAGACACGTATAGGTGATATTGGTTGTAGATGTGTCCAGTCCATTGCTTACTAACCTTTGTTTCACGTTTATTGTCATACTTAGCGCAGAATGGATAAATTGTTCTCAAAGATGGATGGCTTCATTTTTACACTTCTTGGAGATATGTAAGTACCAGAACATTCTCTTCGATTTCACTTTCGTCTACATCTCGCATATATTTTTAATGAATAATTCTGATACAAACGAATATTGTTGTCTCAAATTACTGAAGCTGTGTTTGATGAACTGTGTTGCCATGGTAATGTGTTTGAGAAATCGTGTTGCCATGGTAACGTGTTCAATATTTTGAATAAATCACAGATCGCCAATCCGTGATTAATCGATCATTTAGCGTGGTACATATCCGTACGCTGAATGCCATTTTAGTTATGTGAGTAGAAAAAATAAAAAACCGGCCAGCAAAAAAAATAACCAAATTGATCGCCCTGTAACTTTTTCAATTATTTTTCAATTTTGATGAAATTTCGACCAAATCGTCGATTTATGTTTCGGAATGTTAACCTGAATTTGAGTTCCCAAAAAAGCTGATGGCTTGATCATTGTATTGGGAAAAACAAAAGTTACTATTTTACGCCTAAATTCTTGACGCCCTTTGGCTTAATTTGTTTTGGAATGAAATGTGATCCCTTCTCAACACAATGGTTTCTGATTCACGTCAATATCTTCTATTTATGAGAAGATAAGAGTGTCATAAGAAAGTGTGGATTTTTTAAATTTGCAGAACCTACTTGAACTTATCAATTAACAACTCGAAAAAAAAATCACTTATTTCCACCCCGTTTTTTAGAATTCACCAGCAAAGAGGCCTTAATTACTAAAAACATGAAAAGTTGACCTAGATGTATGCCCTCCTCAGGCTTGAATTACAGCATTCAACCGCCGTGGAACCGAGTTGATCAAATTTCTCAATCAGTCTGAGGAATTGCCTCAAATTCTTCTTGAAGGACGATTCAAACCTCTTGAAGAGTCTCTGACAAAGCCAGACGAAGGCGAATGAGCCTCTGGAGTTCATCCCAAAGATGCTATAGGTTCTGGATTATTGTTGATAAAAATCAAAAAAATCCATTATTTCTTAAAACAGTTGGATCTTCTCTTGAAAAGAAGATATTGACGTGAATCAAAAATCATTGTGGAAAGGGACGAAAATATCATCAACATGATTAACATAACCCTACTCTTGCTGTTAACAGTGTTCACTTTGTGAATTTTGTGATTGGTTCAAAGTAGGAAACCGATTAGGAAACATTGACAACTACACTCAGTGCAATTCGCCTGATATTGTGTTGATTGCTCCATTCTCTCAAATTCATGCTCTACTCGCCAACTGACATAATTTGTGCAAAACTGTTGTTAACTTCCTCGCTTCCTAGTTCCCATTCAGAAGCACAATGATCAGAAGTATTTTCCATTACGTTCTGACTCGATGATGGTACTCCATGAACATCAGGTCCTAATGAATTCTTGCTCTTTGGTGGTTACAGGTGGTATGAATTGAAAATTGAAAGACGCAGTGTTTGGAAAAGTGTAGGCAAAACAATTACGATCATTTATATTATGGAATTTGGGTTTAACACGGTTCTAAATAAAACTTCATAAATCCTATAGATTTTATGATTGACTTCGATGAATTCATTGTGGCTTATAGGTTTTAATAATTACTTTCACACAGCTAGAATAATGCCAATAGGTTTCATTATTGCCTCAGTCAAATCCTAATTGGCCTAGTGTAAATTTGGTTTTATGATTGCTTTATGACGTATTTTCATAGGATTAGTTCAGAACCTCTTGGTCAAATTCGAGACACTAATAAAACTTAAGAGTTTTAGGAGGGTTGTTAAGAGTAAATAGTTGATGAAGAATTTCAATGACTCTCACAGAGCTCTCTTAAAACCGAAGTGAGCTGAATGCCAAATTGTTTTATGCGATAGTTCTATCATAGTATATATCTCAAAGCCTTTTAATAGGATTATATGGACATGAAGGCCAATATGCTTTTTCCAGGGCATTCATAAAACGGTAGAACAAATGAGACCTATCATTTGCGATCACATAACCTCTTTAAAGTCTCATCGAAGCTATTAGGCATTTAAAATGTTACTTGGGGGATCACATCAGTTCAATATGAAACACGATGAAGCAGAAGGTGTTTGAATTGTTCTGAATTTTTTTTAATAAGAATTGATATAATCCATACTTTCTTTGAAACAATTATTATATCTTCTTTAAAAAAGAAGATATTGACGTGAATCAGAAACCATTGTGTTGAGAAGGGATCACTTTATCAAGTTCAACCACTCACTTTTGCCACAGGGAATCAAGAAATTAAGGGTGAAAGAGTAACTTTTGTTTTTTTTTTCCTGTATAATGATCACGCCATCAGCTCTTTTTGAGAATTAAAATTCAGGCTATCACTCCGAAACACATATCTATGATTTGGTCGAAATTTCACCAGAATCGGACAAGAATTAAAAAAGTTACAGGGCGATCAATTTGACAAAATTTTTTGCTGGAAGGTTTTTTTTTGCGGGTGAGTGTGTATATTGTTTGTTCTTGAAGAAGAACTATAAATATAATATAATACAAAGAATCAGTCTATTGAACCTGTCTATTTTCCATCAAAATGTTCCTTGTCCTACATGCCTAAATTTCGCTTGTTTCTTATCTACCGAAATTAGAAGGTTATCTCAAACTCGTTGATCAAAGATGCCCTTGCGGTCAAATTCCATAAACAATGTGATATACAGAGTGTTTCCTTAATATTGCACAAAACTTCGAGGTCGTATTTTTTGGGTCAAAATAAGAAAAAAGATCATTCAAACTTATGTCCGAAAACGATTCGTTTCAGAGAAACAGGGTGCTCAAGTTTCTTAAAATAATATATTTTTTCAATAATTTCTAAATTGACATTGGTATAGGTACATTCATTTTTGTGTCGCCATCGTTACATGATTCATTTGGTAAACGGGAAACTATATGATTATTACAGTTTTTCTCATCGGGTTCACATGCATAGGTTTGGTTTTTGTTTGTAACTCACAAAACGTAGCCAGATACGAAAAAAACTAAGGAGCCAAAACAGATTTATTCTCAGGTTGCTTCAATAAAGAAAATGCAAAAAAATTTCAAAAAACCTACTGGGTGTTATTTTTTGTTCAAAAACTATTTGAATTGCCCCGTGAGCACCCCCCTGATAATACTAATATAAACTGTATTAGGTTCAAAAACTACCTCATTGTGATTTCAACAGACACTGTGAATTTTATCACTATCGGTTCAGGCATATTCAAGAAATTTATGAAAAATCTATTTTTCTTAGGAACATAAACACCCTGTATCTCGGGAATGAATCGTTTTTGGACATGTTTATATGAACTATTTTCTTATTCTGATCCAAAAAATACGACCTCGAAGTTTTGTGCAATATTAATGAAACACCCTGTATGTACATTTTCAACCGTCAACAATAAGCATGGTTCATTTTTATATGATTTTTTTTTAATACAGGCAATTTTTAGATCGTGAAGTCGCAAATTACTCAAATGAATGAATTATGTGGTATAATGATATTATTTTCATGGCCACTATTTTGTACGCATTTACAGGTGTTTCACTAACAATGTATCATCTTCAGGGGAATATTTGAGCTGATTATAACCATATTTTTTTCGTTCGAAAATTACTGGTAACAGAGTTGTCTCATATAGAAACCATAATCAGTGTTTTATTTGACCCAAATCAGTGGACTAAATTTTGAATTTGTGGAATATACAAAACAGTTTACCAGAACTTCGGCCTTTTACAGAGTAGGTCCCTTGAGTTCATTGGAAGGGGGGGGGGGTCACCTAACAGTCGTACTATCACTCTCAGGTCAGTGATAATAACTTGCGATATAATTTGGTGACTAAATACGCGCAAATTTTTAAAATTGCACGGCTATGTACAGGGTTATCCATCAAAGAGGCCAACCCCTATATTTTCCTTATTTTTTCATCATGAAAAAAAAAACAATAGGTGGAAGTTGAATGCCGGAAAGATGCCTTTCCACCGTCCTTATCAAAAGTTGTACAGGGTGATCCCTGAAAGCGTAACAAACCCCGAATTATTTTTGTTCAAATGAAAGTCCCTGTTTTTTTAATTTTTTTCGGAATCTGTGTTTTTTGTGATCACAGAAATATAATATATATATGAACAGCATGATATCTTTTATTTTTACTTCATTATCACCGCTTTTTTGGCCAACAATGTTTGTATGAATGAGGATATATTTGACAGTTGTACATCGCATCATTATCGAATACATTCCCAAACTGATCCACTGATCACCAGTTGATGAGACAAAAGTTGTTTTTCTATGCTCAAAAAAGTCGTGATAAAGAAGTGAAAATAGAATATATCACTCTGTTCATATATATATTTTTGTGATCACAAAAATTCACAGATTCCGAACAAAATATAAAAAACAGGGTGTTCCATTGAAAAAAAAATGATAAGAGCTATGGGAAGGCCTCATCGCGGCATTCAACGTTCGCGTTTTGTTTTTTCCTATGAAAAAATAACGTTCAAATAGGGGGGGGGGCTTCTCGGTGAATAACCCTGTACAATGAAACAGTACCTACCAATAAATTGGACTAAAATTCCAATAAAATGTAATTCTTTCGACTGC